ACATCCCCCGGTCGGAAGAACACCCCTACGCGAAAGATTAATTGCTCTCCCAAACCCCAGACCACCCGACCGTAACACTATAATCAACGACAAACTTTTATGGAAGAAATTACTGCTCTCAAGAATGAAATTAACTCTCTGAAACAACAAATGGCACAAGAACGAGAGCAAGCGGAAGAAAAATACCAGAATTACTGGATGAAGTTGTAACATATAGAGAAAAAATGGAAAAAGAAAAAGAAGAGTGGAAAAAGGAAGCCGATGATTTGAGAAAAGAATTAAAAAGAAAAAGTGAAACTCCTATCGAAGAAAAAATTATAAAAAGAAGAAAATTTGATGGGACCATTGGTTATGGGTCCCGTCTGTGCAAAGTGCAGTTGGCGGAGAAAAAGCGGATTAACCGCTCGCGTGAACTGCTATGTATGTGTATTCCTTATTCTATTTAAGTATTCAAACTTTTTGGATCTCAAGGGCTAGTTATACCACGAATAGGCTCTGAGCGTCACCAAAATGCGAGTCCGGAGCATGGTGCGCGATTTGTCGCAAGGGCTAGCTTATACCATGGGCAGGTTCTAAGCGTCCTTGATGCGAGTCCGATTACAACGTGGTGAGAGATCTTCCGCTTAGATAGAAGGGTAACGCTAAGGGGTCCCCTTAACAAGGACTCTAATGCATACATATTAAACCTTTGCTTACGAAATGGCCAAATTGCTGGAACACCTTGCTATTCTGACTACCGCGGCCCTGGGGAAACCTGAGGCGCAGCAGGGAAGCACGTTTGATACCGATAGCTTTCCCGGATGGTAATAAGGTCAGAGGGCGCACGTCCAACTAACGGTACTAGCCGAGTTCTTGGAGCCATGTGAGGGGATCGATACCCCTAAGAGGTAACTAGCAGCCAAGCCCCGTAGTGACGGATTCATAATCCAGCTGAGATAAGGTCTAATTTAGTACAGACTCTCAGTGTTAACCGGGGAAGGTTCACAGACTAGAAGGTCATCAGTGGGAACCGTATTAAACAAAGCTGAATTAAGCTGCGTTGAAAAGGTGTACTGCTGAAAGGCATAGTCGATGAAAGTAGAAATACGTGTTGGGGCAGCCTACCGAGGAAGAACACTTGGAACCTAGTGTTTAAGCCAGCTCATTACTTGCTTATGATCTAGGAGAAACCTATCCCAACTTCGGTTAATGTTATTTAGGGACGGCCCTTCGTTTAACTGGTGCAGTGCGTATCCGAACTAGAAAGTCTTTATCAGTTATTATTGTCAGTTTTATTCTTGAACTTCTCCAGTAGTTGGAGACAAGCACTCGGGCGGTGAGTGCAGTTGCTACCCGGTAGACTGAGGAGTAGCACTGCCATGTCAACTGGGTGCGAGAAGTCTAACGTTAGAATAATTCTGTCCAATAGTAATGGGCGTTGGGAAACCAGTGTCTAGTTTAGAGTAAAGCGTTAACGGCCACTTTTACCAGTGTCGAGTCGTTTAACGGCGAAATTTTATCAAGTATACAGTATTCGTGACTGTTCGTCAGGCGTAACGCTGTTTTTATTTGATACTATCCCGATAACATTAACTAAGACCCATCTGAGTATTAAGATGATTTTCTAGGTGATCTCCTTTAACCCCCTAGTATGGAGCAGCACGTATGGCTCTTGAGAGAGTCTTCCGTCCTAGGAGACGAGTGAGGAAAGGTGGTGATCACATAATCAAATGTATTGGTATGGTTAATTGACTTACGGTAATATGGTAGCGAACCGACTTTCCATGTGGTGAAGGCTTGGGGACCACTGAAGGGCGCCCCGAGGGGGTTCGCAGACGTGTTCCTCACCTGGAAGTCTAACCCTTGCTGGATCTAGTGGTTGGGGAAGTGCGTCGGGAGGTGGATTGTTCTGGGGCTAATCTAAAGCCTGGGCATACGCAACCCACGTTATTGGTATTCGTCAGAATATCCCCGATTCATATTACCTATGGAGTCCAATACTATTGCATTTGAGGTTTTGTGTTAACCAGCGGAAACTCTGGGGAACAGTGTACTAAACCTAGTTGGTGCAATGACGATCTTGTAGACCAACCAAACAGTATAACCTGAAGCCTAACGTCGGTGCTATGGCTTTTGGTGTTTCTTGGAACATTTTTACTAGTATTACCTGTAATGGGTTAGACAACCTAGGATGTAAGGGCTTGAGATTATTTCAATGGCACCTGCGGAGGAAGCAATACTGGTGAATTGGGAAGATTGATACCCTTGTTATATTGAATGGGGAAGTTTATATACTAAGTCATTGAAATGGAAGTGACCTAATTCCCTCGATTCCTACGACGCTCCGTTTAAATTTGCATTAAAGTAATAAGTAACACCGTCACAAGCGTAGACGAGGACTTTGGTGGAAATTTATTAATAGTGATTGGGTGTAAGATCTGGAAAAATGGCCGGACACCAGCCAACACTAACAGTATATCAGTGTACAAAGGATATCGATCTGGGAATTGGGCCCCCACAACCAAAATCATCTTAATATGGAAAAAAGGTCTAGGAAGCTCTGGTATGGCAGAGGGTGATGTGGAAGGCACCACTTAAGACTCTCCCCGGTTGCCTAGGGGACACCTTCGGGTGCGTCGGGTCTAATTCTCGCATACTATTCTTTTTCCTAGAAACCACGAAATTTAGAAAAATAGCAAAAAAGTTAGTAAAAAATTAAAAACAAATATAAATATTTTTATATATATCTTATATAAATTAGCATTAAATTATTAATTATATTATTTTATAGCATTATTATATTATTATTTCAAGTTGAAAGATAGTGAGCTATGATCACCTTGAAGTTTAGAATAACTACATAGGAGTTACAAGAGTAACACAGGCAAAACAGAAAGAAATTTTTAGTATTTGAATAGCAAAATTGTTTGAAGAATTTAGTATTCAATTTGATTATCAATTGTTACCCTTGGAAAATTTACCTGACAAATGGAAAACCTTATTTTGGTAAATTGTTCATACCCTTTACCAAGATATTTGCGCAATCATTTAATACACTTTATTTATAGAAATATGGTTATTTTTATACATTAAAAAAAAAAAAATGGAAGAATTATATTTCAATATCACATATATTATTACATATTCATTATCATTATCTACACTAGTATCAGGAATATTAGTCGATGTTTCAGGAAGAAAATTATCAGAAGAGACTTCTGGAAACGATAAAGTCTCTGAAAAAATGGACGTCTCTGGAAAACCATGCCTCGGAACTCACGGAAATATCTGGATTTTCCATTAAAGAAACGGTTATTTCTCCAAAATTTACGGCACGGAAGATACCATCGAAGGATAAGATGAAGAAACACCAAATCCACTATTGTCGTCATTCTGCCCATTCAAAGCCAATGCAAGAAGCCGTTCCAATTTATTAATACGAGCTTGCATGCTTTCTTCATACTTTTCAATACGCGAACAAAGCCACTTGATTTTGTTATTGAAAATCATGCATCGAGGACATGAAGAACCCCGCGAGATAGAAGGAGCAATTGAGGAAGATGGATCGGTATCATCCTCTGAAGAAGAAACCAATTCTAAACCCGA